GGTCATTCATCGCGCCGTTTTTGGTCGCGGCCCCGGCCACTTCTCCTCCTTCTTCCGCTTCGCCTCTCCTCCCCCCTCTCGCTCCCCTCGCCGCCTTTTCTTTCATTTGGAGGGTCCCCTCCATTTGCGGTCCCCGAATTTCGCTCGTCGATCTGTGCTGGGCCTTGTCAGTCTCTACAACGTTCCCCTTGACAGCGTTGTAGCGGCCCGCTCAGTTTCAGTCTTTCAATCGTTACTCCAGGCTTTGCTTCGCGTTTATGCACATTCGTGCCCTGAGTGGCAGGATTTATTCAGTTGTCGTCTTCTGCTGGCAATCCGCCCTCTCCGTCGCTGCCGCGACTGGTTGCCTCCTGCTTGATGCAGGTGTTTTTGGTCTGTCCTGTCAGCCTCCTTTTTCTTCTCCCTCCAGTCGTCGTCGCCCTCTCGCTGTCGTCCGCCGTGTCCCTCCCCCCCCTTCCTCCTTTCTCCTCCACCCCTGGCCGCCGTGCTTGGAGAGCATGGTGCGCGCGTCGCGCGTCGCCGCTTCTGGGGCTTGGCCCCCTCCCCCCGCGCGCCTTCTCTTCCTTTCCCTGTCCTCGTCGTTTGTCGTCTGCTGCTGCTCCCTCTTCCTCCCTCCCTCCCTCGTCTCCCTCCCTCTCCTCTTCCCCCTCCCTCTCTCTTCCTCCTCCTCCCTTTGGCTTCCCCTGGGCGTTTTGCCGCATTCTGATTGCCTCTCCAGCCGGCGTTCGGCCTGCCGTGCCGTTTCCGAGCGATCCGGAAGCGCGCCGCGTGAAAATGATGTTTGTTTTTGTCTGTCTCCTTCCTTCTTCCGCCCGTCACTTTTTATAGCTATGTTTGGACCTCAGTGTGGCTCGGTTCATTCGCTCCGAGGTGCGTGGGGAAAAAAACGGCAGCGTTGCTCGGTTCTGCGTTGCCGGCCGTTCTGCTTCCCGCGCCTGGTAATATGGCCAGCGCCTTTCCCAACGGAGTCGTCCATCAGAGTGTTTGCATCGGCCGTCTGACGAAGATCCGGAGATATTGCGGCCTTCGCAGCGACGCAATGATCTTTATGGCGAGCAAATCCTTCTGTCAAACTGAGGCTGTTGGAGCGAACGACAGTGGGCTCGGCGCCTGGTCTGCCGGCGTAGAGAGACGAGAAGAGGGGCCAGATCTGTGAGCGGTGTCAAGCGCGGGCGAGTAGATAGGTACGATAATTCGCCGCCCCAGCGACGCTCTTTGAGGCATCGTTGCAGGCGATGTAATAGTGCGGAGTTGATGATCGGATTTCTTAAATTATGACAGCACGTGTTAGAAGGAGATATTGCAACAATATGTTGATTGCATAATCCAGCCATGGTCGATTTTAGAACAGTTTTTTCCGACGGATATACGCGTCGCAGGAGGCTGTCTCCGCGTGCTCCTTCTGCGCGCCGCCCGCTGTGGGGTAGTGTCGTTTCCCCCCCTTCTCCTTCTCCCTGTCCCCGCCTTTCCCTCTTTCCATTCGTCCTTCCCCCCTTCCCCCTCTCTCCTCCCTTCCTTCTTCCTCGTCCTCTGCTGCTGTCGTCTGTGGTTGCCGCCCTCCTTTTTGTTCCCGCCGCTCCTGCCGCTCTGCGTGCGGCGCGGCGCGCGCGCTGTGCGCTATGGCCGCGCTTGGGGATCGTGCCCTTCTCTCTGCCTTCTCGTCCGCCTTCTTTTCCCTTTGCTGCCTGGTTGCTTGTCCCTTCCCCCTCCTGTTTTCCCCTCCCCTTTTTCGCGTTCCGTCGCTTTCGCTCGTGCGCCATGACTTGCGGCGTTGCCAGGTTTTGGCTTCATTTTTGACCGGGCCCGCGCTTCTCCAGAGCTGGCGCGGAAATGTGAAGGCGCACTGCTTCTCACAGGTCGTCTATAGAAAAAAAAACAGCACTAACGCTTGGGCGCGCCGCCGGTATGTTAGAAACGCGCGGCTATCGTTTGACATGTTTCGTTTGCTTAGAAGCACTTTGTTTAGCGCCGACTTCGCAGGGGCGCGAATGTGCGACGTTGCCGCGCGCGCCTTCGTCCAGGAAGAAAAAGAGAAACCCCAGTGCGACAATTGTCCAAGTCGCCGCGTCGCAGCCTGCAGTCGCCGCGCACCTGCTACGCAACCGTGGACAGACGCCCAGGAAAGTGGGGAGAGCGACAGAGCCAGAGACGCGATAAATTTTGCGCGCCGACTTACGGTGTTAAACAAAAAATGCGAAAATGGCCGGGAATCCTCGGCCAGCGCTGGTAGGGGCGCCCGGCCAACCAGAGCGAAAATGTTGTGAATTTCTAGGGCGGGGCGCGCGCGACGCGAGTTGGTTCCTTACGATGGGTTGGTTCAGCGCCTTCGATAAGATATTTGCGGGGCGTTTTTCGGAGACGGTAGTTTCTTTCAACATCGAGCACAAGGCCATATTTGCTTGCAGATAGGGTCTGCCCACAGTCAGCGCGCGTGGTGGGTTCCTATGCCTTGTCAGAATGCGTTCCAATGTGCTGCATGGGTAACCGAGGAACCGTTGTTGGCCCCAGCCTCCCGAGTGAATTTTACCATCGCGCCAGGGATCCCATGAAAAATAATCCTTTTCACAATGTTTTTGCAAATTATCTACATGCAGTCGAGCTTCTTGAAAATGCACTGCATGACAATGCGTGCAGTCCTTTGGGCAGTGCTAGCAAACATTGCCAAAGTGAGGCGTCCCAGCGGTGTTATTATCGAGCCAGCGAAAAAGGCTCAACGCGCAGCGCATAGTATACCATGAGTTGGCGTTGGAGGTGTGGGCTTACCCCGTATATCGTGTTCGGTTCTTTCATTGCCGTGATTTCTGTTTGGTGGTGGAGTCCTGAGCCGTCGTATTGTCGATTATGATTTGGTGGTGGAAGGTTGTGTGCGTGTATGTATGTATGTATGTATGTATGTATGTATGTATGTATGTGTACGTGTATGTGTATGTATATGTATGTATGTAGGTATGTATGTCGATATACATATATATAGATATCGTTGTGCATTCTGTTGGTGTTTTCTGTTTCGAATGTTTCATTTCATGCTATTTGGTCGGTCGTCGGTACTTGTATGCGCCATGTTTTATCCGCCCACTTTTTTCGAATTGATCTCAGTCCGGAGGCTTGTGATTGGCGCATCCAGCGCCAGTTTTCGTTATGTGTGTGTGTGTGTGTGCGTGCGTTGGCAACTACATACCGGTCCCCATCATTCATCATTTTTTTTTGTTATGGACCTTTGTTTTCCAAGGTTTTCCCCCCTTTTTTGAAACGGTGGTTTGAATTTTATCAATTTGGTAGATAGGTTTGCGTTTCTATACGCGAGTGGCCCGTGTGCCCCGGCGCGTACATAACGAATCGCAGCGCACACGCATTCTAGAGGCTTGTCAATCATGACGTTATCTTGGGCCCAAACAGGAAGGGCTCTCATGATATGAAGTTGCTACATTGATGATCGCAAGATGGCTGATGGGAATCCTCTCCTCATCTTGTCTCCCTTTGCCTCCTCCGCCCTTCGGCCCGACGATTTCAGAAGTGTTTCTTTTCCGTATCTCTCTCTATAGGAGGAAAAAAGGAGATGGATATGTAGAGGGGATTGGAAGAGCAGAAAGACGGACACCAGGAGGTTGGTGCAAATTCTGCAAGCTGGATTGCCGCCTTCCGATGAGTGTCGCCGAGGAGGGATTCCACACCGTGCGGTTGCAGTCGAAAACGAGCCGTTATCAAGGTTTTGGGAACACGGGGGTAATTTGAAAACGTCCTTATCGCGAACCATCAGGCGGGCGCCCGAAAACGCTGCCCAATCCTAAGGTTCTGCGTCTGTGCAGTCATAATTTAGCGGAGCTCTGCGCTCTTGCGCGAGCAGGCCTACGACAAAACTCGCAAGACACTTTGCATATTGGGGTCGCTGCGTCAGAAATGGGTGCCCCACATGGTTTTCAAATGTCTGGGGTGTCGCACGCGAAGTAAGGACTACCACTCGAAACGACATTATTTCAATAGCCGCGTCCAAACGTATTGATACATGTTTTCAAACTTAAAGGCTAACATGCGGAATCATTTTTGTTTTGGCCCGTGACGTCGCGATTTGCGGTTCGTCATAGATTCCTAAGTTCAAGAATGTCGCACATGAAACGGCCAGACACATCGTGGATCTTCCAGCTTCAAGTTATCGCGTGCTACGCGAGTTTTTGTAGCCATTTCGAGCTTGGCGTCTTCGTCACTGCACGGCATGCGCGGTTTCGTGAGGCGCACCATTTGTCTGGCGCTCGTTTGCCGGGTAACGTTTCTAAATTTGCGATGCTTATTCGGGCACATCCTGTTTCACCTTGGGTGCATTTGATTTCGAAACGTGGCCAGGGTGAGGCCTTGATGACTCATTTGCCAGCTTGTAGTTCGTTTCGCACGGTTTGGTTGCGGTTTCGCGGTGGACGTACCACATGTGCAAACGCAGGGATGGTCTCCTTCGCTTCCCAAATTGCACGACCTACTTTCAAGCTTGCTTGCGCTACTATTTGTTGGTTTTTAGTTTCCGTCGTATCCCGGCCCCTCGGGCTTGCCAGGTGGTCTGGCGCAGGTGCGAGTGCTGTGCCTGTCCATGTTTTTTGTTACTGCTGGGCCCAGTGCCCGGGTCTTGTCGTGCGTCTTCGGCATTTTGAACGGACTGCATACAACGAAAAACCCGTTTGTACAGGCAAATGTCAACACGGGCCACAGTTGTTGATCATTGTGTGTGTGTGTGTGTGCATTTTTGTATGTTGGTTTTGTTAGCTGTCGACGTGGTCTTCCACGATCATCGCAGGTGGGGATGTAGCCATGGCCTGTTCAGTCTCAGCCGGTTTGCGATTGTAACCACATCAGCGCAGTGGCATCCGTGACCGTTCAAGTAACAATTGGCCATATTTAACATTTTTCATTGTATTCGCAATTCTCATATTGTGTAAGTTCAATACAGTTTGGCACTGTGCGTTCTATATTTTCACAATGGTTCATTTCTTATGTCTGTGTTACGGGATCGCCAGGCGCTTCTGGCCGCCACCGAGCATCAGGCAAGACTCCAGCAGGCACTGGCGGCATTGTGGAGTGGCAGAAACTTAGTGTTATTGGATTGATCCTTCGAGTCGGGATGCGAACATCGTAAAGGAAGCGTGGCGGGTGAGGGATCCTGACAGTGTGCTGTGCGCCGATGTGCAGGTGCAGTCGCAGTTGGAATGTCATTGCCAATCCAAACATTCAGAGAAAAAGCACAGCATCGATGCGACAGTTCCTCATGTTCTCTCTTATTTCGCCACTGGTGGACAAATGCCCTGTAGAGTTGAGTTGCTGTCGGATGTCTTCAGGAGGCCTGTATTTAGAGCGTGTGAGTGCGATCGTTGAGTTGCTGGTGTGTTTTGCAGAGGGCGATCGCGCAAGTGCCGTTTTGTTTTTATTGTGAATGTAGTTTTCTTGCTGCTCCTGTCACTGGTGTGTGCGAGGAGTTTCGCGTTATCTGAATTAGTTTGTTTTTTTTCGTTCCAGAGCGGCAGCACGTGTTTCTGTCTACGCGGAGCATGTTTGTCATTCAATTTTTGGGCGTGGGGAGTCAGATCAGGGGAGCAGGACGATGAAGAGTTTTTCAGGAAGAAGCGCGTGAAATCATTGTAACAACGTTTGGCCATGTGCTGGTTTTGCCGGGGGACTTGTTTGGTTTTTAGAACGCCTCTCCGCTGTCGCCATTTTTCTTGGTTCGGTCCTGTCCCCGACTGTCCCTGGCCCTGGTGCTGCCTCCTGGTGCAGGGAATCTTCTTTGTTCGGCCCTGTCCCGATCGTTTTTTTCCATGGTGCTCGCCCTGGGCTGTCGCCGCTTTCCTTCGTTCGGCCCTGTCTTCTCTTGTTCTTGGTCTCGTTGCCGCCTCCGTCGTCTCCCGTCTTCTTCGTGCGGCTCTGCCCTCGACTGTCCCCGGCCCTGCTGCTGTCCTGACTTTCCGCCAGTCCCTTTCGTTCGGCCCCTGACCCTGACAGTCCCTGGCCCTGCTGCTGCCCGCCGTTGCCTGGTCAGTCTCCTTCGTTCGGCCCCGACCGCAGCTGTTGCTCGCTCTCGTGCTGCGCTCCTTGCCAGGTGTCCTCTGGCTCTCCCGATTCCCTGTGCCGCCCTCCGTTGGTCTCCAATTTTCTCTCGTCCGCCCTTGTCCCCGACGTTCCTCGGTGCTTGCTCTCCGCTGAAGAAATCTTTTGTTCGGCTCCGTTACCAGGTGTCTCCGGCCCTGGTTTTGGCTTCCGTCGCGGTAATTCTATGGTTTGAACTCTTGGCTCGAGTGTTTCTTGGCCCTGGTGCTGCGCTCAGATGCTGTCGATTTCATTCGTTCGGCCCTTTGCGCAAGTGTCGTTGGCCCGCTGGGCCCATTTCTTTCGTCAGGCCCTGTCCCCGACTGCCCCTGGCCCTGGTGCCTCCTCCCTGTTGCCAGGACTTTCCTTCGCTCGGCCCCGATCTCGAGTGACCCTGGCCGCGGTGCTGGCTCCCGCTGCCGCCGACATCCCTCGTTCGGCCATGTTCCCAACCGTTTTTCATGACGTCGACCCCCAGATGTTTCGACCTATCCCCCTGGACCGGTTTTTCATCCTGGGTAGTTTTTTGACGGTCCCGAGGCTCGCTGAGGGCCCCCAGAGGCCGAAGATGGCGAAAATCTTCCAGTCGCGATTTTCTCATTGCTCGAGGGGGTCTGGGTGTACTGCTGCGCTCCGGTGCCGTCAGTGTCCTTCGCCTTTTCGGCCCGTTTCCGGCCTTGCCCTCGTCTGCCCCTGGTGTCCAGGGCAAGGAGTTCCGGTGCCGAGCGGCCAATCGTCAGGGTCACCCGCAGGGGCGCTGAGGCGAGTCGCGCGGCGCGCGCCCCACGGTCGGGGCTGGCGAGCCGCCGTTCTCCTGGGGGACTGCGCGAGAGCGCGCGAAGAGGATCGCGCTTCGCGCAGCGCGAAGCTGCCGAGTCTGGCGACCCAGGCCTTGTATGAAGGTGGCCCCCGTCACCCGCGATGCGGCCAACGCCAAGACCCCGATCAGCGAGACGGCAAGCACGTAGTTGTGCCAGTTTCTGTTGGCCACGCCCAGTTTTGTGGTGTGAGGACTGGGGAGATGATGAGAAACGAGAGATGAACGAGAAGCGAAGCGCGAGGAGGCGAAAAGCAGGAGCGAGCAGAGTACTTTTAGCCTCGACCACCAGAAAGAATCTCGAGCACCAAGATAGCACCGAAACTGTAGGGCTCTCACGCGTCGGGCCCTGGGAGGCGATACTTGTTCGACACTGTTTCAATACTTTTCTGGGTGCTCGATTTTTTCTGGGATGTGGTCCTGAAGTACGATGA